AATATTAACCATTCTTTATCACACTGAGGGAAACAACGTTTGAATAACTCATATTTTCTGGAATATATTTATACAGATAAAGGAAAATCACCTAAAACATTTCTTCTGAATAACAAATTTTAAACGATTTGGAAAAAAACAAATAAAAAATCCTAACAAACTAATCAAATTAGACAAAAAGGGAGCATTTGAGAAGAAGCCCCTCCATAAAAACCAGCAGGTTCAACAGAATTCATAAAAAAAATAAAAAAATCAACAAGCCGACCAGATCAGAGTAGCATCTATGTTAAAGCTCTACGTCGGTCCAGTCCAAACTCTCTAACAGGTCACCATTAAGGCTGAGATCTACTTCATGCCTGCTGAGTCATAGGTAGGGCTTCTGATACTGACCTATGAATGGAGAAGGGCTCCAACTAACCACTATTTTACAAATTAATTAATATGGCGATTATTTTTTGGATTAATTAAATGATCAGATAGTCAAAGGTCCTTTAAAGAAGTGATTTTATATAATAAAAACTGGTTAAACGTAATTATTGAATGATTTTCTATTGTTGAAAACACAAGAGAACCATAATACACCGATATATATATTTATAGATGTTAGAGAGATGCCTTTTACTGCATTACATAAATAGAGCCTAAAAACATTGATGTATAAAAAAATAACAGTCGATTCCGAAGCCAAAATCGATATATATCATGCATCCCTAAAAGTATAATTTCAATTCCATCCAGAAAAATATGGATATGCTGCATTTTAAATATTTTAAAATATTTTTTTTTGTAAACTTTCTGGTAAACCTGGAGATATATTTTATTGCAGAGATATTTTAAACAGAGATATTTTAAACAGAGAAATACCTATTTCTCTGTTTAAAAAGATTTATGAACCTCTTTACTAATATAATGACGCCAGAAAATAAATTTCAAGATATGTAGAAGCTCTGCAGTCTGATTCTGTCTGTACAATAAGAAAATGTGTTCATTTTAACCTGTAACTGAGAGCCATGGTCCTCTGGGAAGCCAAGAATTTTTTAAACTAGTAAAGAAGAACATTTAAACTGTGTTTTCTCAAGCTTCTTGCATTAAAATACTAACTTGTATAAACTTACAATCTGTTGCCGTTTTTAGCTGAAAAAGCTCCGTATGTCAAACGAACAGATTTTTTTTAGCCTCGTGAGACCATCCTGATCTCGCGAGCTTTCAAGATTTCACTTGCTAATCAGTCTGGCTACTTTCCGTTAAAGAAAATCTGGAGCCGTTCACCAAACGAACGTCCAATCAGCGTTGGCTTTGAGGCGGGTTGAGGTTTGACGCAATGAGAAGCGCGACAGTTCAGTCAAAAGAGCATGGCGGCTTCAGCCGATGAAACTAGCGTTAGCGTGGCTATCGAGCAAGTTTTATGGGAATTACAGAGTATTTCTTCACTGAAAGAAGAGCAAAACACTGCTCTGGAGGCTTTTCTCAGGGGAAAAGATGTTTTTGCTCTTCTCCCGACTGGTTTCGGCAAGAGTTTGATCTATCAATTGGCTCCTCTTGGTCGTCGCTCTGTTAGTACGTCATATGCTTCGTTGATCTGATTGGTTTATTTGGCCCGTCTATCACCAACATAGGCCAATCAGCTAACCAGTATTTTCGCCCCTTCACAAAATTACTTCAACAGAAGGTTTCCAGATGGATATGCGGAGCAAATCCATCTGGCGGAGTCAGGTTATATTTTTTTAACCAACCCGTCTCCTAACTTTCACTTAAACATCGAAGTAGCTGCTGGTTAATATTCACTGAGTGCTGCTGTGTTTCTCGTCCTCCATGTAGCGACTCTGTCAGTGAAATGCAACTGCCAATCAGATGTCGCTAAGCGACAGATCCGATGATGTCACACCGAGAGGCGGGACATGGGAGCAGCGGGAGAGAGGAACACTGACTCAAAACGCTCTAAACACAGTTAGCTGCACCCAACCTCTGTTAGCTTCGGCTAAAACAAATGAATATAAAGGGGGAAAAAAGCAGAAACTCCTGTAACTCCAGTTAACGATTAACTGATCATTCCATAAAAATAAAAAAAAAATATCCACTGGACTTGGTTTCCAAGATTTGAAGACGTTTCGCCACCTCTCCAGGAAGCTTTCTCAATTCAATTTGACAATTTTGACATTTAAATTGAGAAAGCTTCCTGCAGAGGTGGCGAAACGTCTTCAAATCTTGGAAACCAAGTCCTGTGGATATTTTTATTTTTACAGAATGACTATGACCAGGATGACTGAGAATCTTCATCAGCAGATTAACTGATCACTAAATCAGTTGAGGCTTATTTCAATAATTGATTAATCAGATTAATAGTTTCAGCGTTAGTACTAACCTGTTTACAGGAGAACTTTCCTGTATTTTATAATGCAACTTGAGTTACATAAGGAGGTACTGCTCCTGTTACCGGGTAAAATATGGATCAACTTCATTAAAGGAAAAGTCTGGTCAGCAGGAATAATCACTGGATCATTATTTACACCTAAAACAATACGTTGGTGGTGATTTAATGAGCGTTAATCAGTAAATAAATAAAACTAATCACTTTCATCGTGATCCCCGAGTCTGGGAGCGGCCATTTATGCCCAAATATAGTAACCCCTCCCTCCTGACATGGAACTTCTGGCCCAAAAAAAAAAAAAAAAAAAAAAACACGTAATCTGTAGCAGACATTTGGAAGAAGAATGTTTTCTTTTTTTTGTTGAGTTTTTGCGGCACTAGTGGCTCGTTTTTTCAACAGTAGGCTGACGGTAAAGGGGGGTTATTTGAGAGGGGGGGGGACATGTTTGTATTTTAACTGGTGTACCGTCTTGGCCAGGTCTCCCTCGAAAAAGAGATTTCAATCTCAAGGGACTTCCTGATTAAATAAAGGTTAAATAAAATAAAAAATGACCCGAGGTCGGATTCTAACCCGGGTCGGCCGCGTCAAGGACTAAGGCCTCCGTACATGGGTCGTGCTCGCCAACCACTGCGCCATCTGCACGCCTTAGAGAAAATTACTCCTCAATAAAAACATTTATTTATTGAACAGTGTGTAATAATTTCATATTTAAAGTGTTTTCAGAAGTTTGTTTTCTGAATGTAAGCGGACTTTTCCTTTAAATTGAAAAAAAAAAAAACTTTATGGACGTAAAAGCAGCAGAGACAAACGCAATTTATGTTGAAGTGAGACCTGATGTCTGTTTTTAGAGTCTGCCTCTCAGGGGCGGAGCTAGAAGGGGGGGTCAGGGGTGGCCATGCCCCCATGTAATCAGTGGATGATTTCTTGTTCCCATGGCAGCAGTGATACTCTGAGGTGGGATGTTAAATCAGGGTTCCTACAGCATAAAGCAAGTTAAATTCAAGACTTTTTAAGACTTTTTAATGGCACTTGAAATCAAAATTTCAGACCAAATTCACAAGAAACACAAGAAAAACCTGCTTGCATCAAATTCACCCAAAGGTTTATTTTAACATAAACCACTGCACTAATGTTTCAAATGTTGAAAAGCTTCCCATACAGAAGGAAAGCTAAAAACACACAAATTACAGATATATTTGAACAATTATTTAACTGAATTCACAAACTTTGTTTTAGCAGGGAACAAAACAAATCAGTTTTAAAGCCCCAACATAACCAGTGCTAAGTCTTTTTTGCAGCTATTTTTCTTTGTATGGTTTTCTTAGTATGTTTGATTTGGTGATAAGTGGAGGCGTTGCAGAGACAAGGGTGGAACTAAACTGAGAAATACCGGCTGTTTCTCTGTAACCCCATTTTGACGCTTTGTGTTTCGTGCTTCGCATGTGCGACTCCACTGCCTTAATTCCCATCGTTCTGAGCTTGAATGACTTCTTGCACTAAATCCACTGAGCCTCATGTATGTTCCCTGGTTTTAGCCATGGAGGAAACTCTTGGCTGGAGACTATTTTGGTTACATTTACACTTGCTCATATTTTCCAGACAAAAAGTTAATGGTGCATCTCCCAAATGTCCCGGCAGCAACAACGCTTTTATTGGTTCCGCTATCGGGACGGAACCAATAATTATTTTTTTAAATTAAAAAAAAAAAGGTCAATTTTAATGTTTTATTTAGATTACAAAAATAAATCATAATAAAACGATCCTATTTATGATGTATTAAAAATTAAGGCCTACGAAAGACTGATTTAAGACATTTTAATACCAATTTAGGCCTTAGTTTTATTTTGAAGAATTCAATGCCTTTTAAGACTTTTTAAGGACCTGCGGGAACCCTGTAAATTCAGAGCCGTTTGTTTATGAACAATAAATTAAAAATGACAGAGATAAATTATTTATTTATATAAAAATGCTAAAGTTGGGGATATAAACAGAACAGATATCCGTTTATGATTGAAAGAAACGAAAAATTTATTTGGCCAAAATTCACATCAGCAAAGAGCCGCAGAGTTACAAAACCAGAGTTCAGAAATCAGCCAAGCAGCTCAAAGGAAAGAATATTTATATTTCAGTTCCTGTTGCATCACCGCAAGAGTCAGAGGGGGGGTAAAATAAGCAGCTTTATCAGCCACTGCAGTCGTACATCACACCATTTAGCCCAGAGTGACCGTCTGCGGTCGGAAGTGGTCACCTATCTGAGAGTAGACTGCCCTGCTGTCTCTAAACCCCAGGCCGTCACTCCGCCGCCTCTCAGCAGGAAGAGGAAGCCTCGCCTCAGAGTATGATACACTGATAACATCACTGGACCTCATCTTTCAGGGTCACAGAGATAGAGAAGCTTCCTGTGTAAGAAGTACAGAACATGCAGGTGGCTTTAGCTCAGGCTAATCGTGTCTCAGCAGAAAGCCGAGTAAAGATCAACGCCGTACGGTCTCCGTTTCTATAAAACGACACCCAGACCGAGCCCTTCAAGGCAAAAACAGACAGAAACATGCCAGCGCCTCGCAGGGAAAGCACAGAGACGGGTGCATAAGCGTACAAGAGCAGTAAGTGTAAAGCAAAAGCGGAGACTTACGAGGCTTCTGACCCCAGAGACCGTAGAGGTGCAGCTTCATGGAGGCGTAGTAAATAAAGACCAGAACCAGCCAGGCACACAGGACAAACAGCAGTTTGTGTGTGGGCTTCATGGTCTCTGGTCATTCACATGGCACCATCCAGGTCATCACCTGCACCGACAAACGGGGGGGGGGGGGGGAGGTTAGAGGCAGCGGGAGAGAAAAAAACACTGCAAAGACAATTAAAAAAAAGTGCGATTAGTATTGAATTGCGATTTTAACCCCAGACTTTCTGTTTGTTTCTGACCTCAAAGGTATGTCTGGACGATATGAAGAAAATCTAACATCCTGATATATTCCTGCTATGGCTGCAATGCATGATAAAATTACATTATTTTGCACCAAATTGAACCGATATACTCATGGCTTTGATGCTGCTATGCCAGAAGATGGCGGAAGACGTCCTGATCACAACATCGGACTGATAGAAGATGTGCTGCATCCTACTGCCAGCACTAAAGGATGACAGGATGTATGATACAACAGGATGTGACGGGACAGCTGTAGGTCAAAATATGGCTGTGGGTCGGGAGAAAAAACACGTTCCTGATCTGAACCTGATGAAGAAGCAGATTATTAATTTAATCCTCCTCCTACTTGAAGCCTGTGCACACATCTCTCATGTTGCTTCAGCTTAATCTCTAGCTTCTGATCACCTCTAAACAAATATTTATTGCAGGTTGACTCAGGGGCTCAACATCCAAAGCATTAAAAATAATAAAAAATAGAGACAAGTGGTGTTGCTGGGGAAGATTCTCAGTCATGCAGGTCATAGTTATTCCAAACAAGTTAAAAAACAACTTTTGGCACAACTGGAGTAATTTTCCAAGACAAGGTCTTGCCTGAAGGTGCATTCCTGAAATTTGCATAAAACAATTCCAACCTTGTTTTTTTTTTTCCAAGCACAACTGTTGAAACGTTTAAAGTATGCAGGCCTTAAGGCTTCCTTTAATTAACCAGGTTTATCCACAATCACACTGACGTGTTATGTTTGTGGCCCAGCAACACTGTAAAAAGCAGTTTCAGTGTTACCATGGCGCCACTATGATGTAACACTGACAAATGTCATCAGTTTCAATGAAAACCTCACTGCGAAACTCAATATTATGAATCTAGAGAAAACAAATTACTGCATTGAAGCATCTGTTGCTTCAATGAAGCATTAGCTGAAGCACAGCTAATCCACCTCCTTTGTTTTACCAACGCAAGTTTTAATGTCTGTTTGCTCATGTGGTGTAAAAATGCGCTGAAAAAGGCCGACTCTGCGTCATAGTGAAAGAACTTTGTGCTCCCGATACTCCGACTGAGTCTTTTTCAGGACTTAGATTCAATCTTTATTTATCCAGTAAACCCACTTCCTCACTCCCCCCCCTTGTCCCTTACCAACTGCCTACTTGAAATTAAAGACTGGTTCACCTCAAACTTCCTTAAACTTAACAGTGATAAAACAGAACTCCTCCTCGTTGCCACTAAATCCACCCTATCCAAAATCAAAAGTTTCTCAAGAGTAGCCTGGCTGTTAGTACGTCATATGCTCCGTTGATCTGATTGGTTTATTTGGCCCGTCTATCACCAACATAGACCAATCAGCTAACCAGTATTTTCGCCCCTTCCCAAAATTACTTCAACGGAAGGTTTCCAGATGGATATGCGGAGCAAACCCATCTGGCGGAGTCAGGTTAAACTATTCGCTCCCAGTTGGAAAAAAACAAAAAACAAAACCATCCAAAACCATAAGAAAACTTTCCAAAGGAGCATAAATAAAAGTCTTTTGAAAAATAAATATAACAAAAAAAATTTTACTTGTATTGGTGTCCTGACACAATACAGTAATTGTAGCTTTAAGTGTTGAATCATACCAGCTTTTATCATTTTTATCACTTAATGTATGTATACTGTAGAATGTTATAAAAGGCTTGATAAAGTCTTTTTACAAGAACATGGAACAAAAGTCACCAATAAAAAGGTATGAGAATAACTGAGCCACGTAAAAATGAACCAGTGAGTTACAGAAGGTTTTTAACCGAAGCAGAGCATTTCCATAAACATGAAAATATCGGAGATTTTAGAGGCGGGCCAGTAAAATCTGACTTTGGTTTTTTTTTGCTAACATTACTGATTAACTGTAGAGTTTTACACAACAAACCTAAGAAAAAAATATTCTGTATTTATTCAGGTAAATTTGGCCATCAGTTAACGGCTCAAAGGTTACCTGACAAACACAGATAGACTCACTTTTGACCATCTAAAACCAGCCGTCGCCTCTGCTGACAATTTTACAGAAATAGCTACTGGGACTTATTTAAATATATATTTAAAGAAAGTGATAAAAGAAGAAAAACAAAAAAACAACTAGAGAGATGCACCCCTTTCAGATTCCAATACGACTTCCTGGAACAGCACAAAAAGCTTTTTTCTAAAGCAGAATTTCTTTGAAGTGTATTTAATTTTTAAATAAAACTAATCAAGCACCTAACTGACTGTAATCACAACGTAAAGCAGCCGACAAAGTCTTTAAAGCCAAGCTGAAAAGCAGCTTTAAATAAAAAGTTTGGACTGAATCAGACGATTAGCATCTGAACTCAGAAAAGATAAAAGCAAAGCAAACAATTTAATGCAGACAGATGAGCTTTTCTAGGCATGTTTATTTACAAACCAACTGATAAAAACTTTTAAAGTTCCTTAAAGAAAAAATAAAGCAGCAAAGGTAGAGAGCAAGAAATATATCTTGAAATAACCTTTTTTCCCTTGTTTTGAGTAGATAAAATAAAACAATTGAATCAAATGGAATAAGGTGATTTTAACTTAAAATATTTAAAAACGATCTTGGTTCAAGAGCAGAAAATTTAATCATCTTATTTTAAGGGTAGACATAGTAATTCTGCAGGCAGATAATCTTATTTTCCTGCTGTAATTGAAGGCAAATCCATTTATTCTGGAAAAATGGTTGAGTCCACAAAAAAGTGCAAATGAGCCATTGGGAATATTCTGATAGCAATTAGCTACTGAAAGCAGGAATGTACGGAGCCCCTAAAGGGACACGGAGCGGAAAAAAAGAACTTTTGCGAGATCCCGCAATACTTTTATTTCTTGCGAGATCCTGCAATATTTTTGCGAGATCCCGCAACACTCTTATTTTTTGCGAGATCCTGCAATACTTTTGCAAGATCCTGTAATACATTTGCGAGATCCTGCAATACTTTTATTTTTTGCGAGATCTCGCAATACTTTTGCGAGATCCTGCAATAGTTTTGCAGGATCTCGCAATAGTTTTGCAGGATTTCACAAAAGTATTGCAGGATCTCGCAAAAGTATTGCAGGATCTCGCAAAAGTTTATTTTTTGCGAGATCTCGCAAAAGTTTATTTTTTCCCTCCATGTCCCTTTAGGGGCTCCGTAGGATTGCGTTGCAGTGACGCAGGATGAGTCAGTCAACGCAGAAGCGTGTCAGCTGATCCTAAGATGAATGAGGAAGGAGGAAGTTAGAGGAAGCAGCATGTATCCTAGCAACACTTCCTTTAACCTCTTAACATCCACCTCATTTTGGGTAATCCTCGCCTATTTTTTATTCCCAAATGGAAAAGCAAATAACTTTGGAACTGTAAGCCCAAATTATATGTGCAAAACATTATTTTGAAAGCTAACACAACCTAAAATTGGTTAACTAGAACACAGACCAACCTGCATCAGTTCCAACATGACTCAAAGTTTGGGGTTTTTATTCTCGGAAATTATCTTTTTTGAACAGCAGTAATAAAGACATTTTTGAGAAAATGCAGGCCTCTAGCTATAACAGTTCCAGAGCTGTGGCGTTTGGAACTTTTGGTGTCAGCTTGGAGCTGTGCGTAACGGCTCCACCTGCTGGTAAAAATTTTACCGGTAGAATTTATGCATTCTGAATTATTACCCCCACTTAAAACGACCCGGAGGGTTTTAAAAGGTTAAGTCGGGCATACAATGTACGATTTTTTAATCATTGCAGGCAGCTACGGCTCACACTGCAGGGTTTCATTGCACAATGTGAGTTCCCAGCTCACGATGTTTGTTCCTACACCCGACGCTCTGATGTGATTTACCTGCTCACACTGTACGTCTAAAAACCAGGTGGGACTCAGCTCGGCAGTGAGATGGCGCTACTTAGACTCGTCTATCTGGAAGCCAAATGAGTAAAGAGGAATATGAAGCTCACTAGAGTGAAACGCGCTGCCTTGGTAATTTGTGCAATATTGAGCTGAAAGCCCTAAAAAGAAAACGAGACGACGTATTTGGACAAAGACATGGCTGAGCAAACGTGGCTACTACGGTCTGTCAGTTTGACAGAAAGAACTCCATTTCACTCATTGCCCCCCCGCCATTCCTCTATGTTTTCGTCTGAGAGGAAGAAGATGAAGAAGAATCCTTGTTTGCGCACTGAGCGATTTGTCCACGACCACCTCTTAACGGCCCACTGAATTTCAAACATGTTTCATTTTCTCCCAACCTCATGATTCCTGATGTGGAGGTGGTCGTTAGAGGCTGATCGCCCCTCGTTACCCCCTGTACACTACACATCGCATGATACGGCTGAAAATCGGCCAGATCGAAAAATTCCCCCACGACTGGAGAATCGGCCCGAAAAGGGAAAAAAAAAAAAATGGTATAGTGTATGCCCCGCTTTAGCGTAACATTGGTAGTAGGGCTGGATAAACAAAATCAATTTTGAATCGATTCCTTTACATTTTTGCTAAATTAATGTCTAGGGAATGAGATCGATTAGTTTTATAGTGACACGCGTGACGTTCGCATTCAAATGAGCAGGAAAGATGCGTTCAAAATACTTCAAGCCAGACAGCTGCAAATATAACCAATAGGTTGACTGAAGACAGTAACAAATGGAGGCTGACCAGTAAACACCCTGTGGTTGTTACAGACAACGCTGCTAATATGGTTTGTAAATTGAAGATAATGCAGCTCATGAATGTCTGCTGTGTCACATCTGCTTGCTTGAGTGAGGCTTCACTTTTTCACTTTTCACAAACAACTTTAAAACTTAATGTGAACAAAACTGTCTCATAAGTGCAAACTGTCTGACAAGTTTGCACTTTGTGTTTAATGTGACAGGAAAAATTAAAA